CCCCAAAATCACCCCCAAAATCACCCCAAAATCACCCCAAAATTACCCCCAAAATCACCCCAAAAATTACCCCAAAATTACCCCAAAAATCACCCCAAAATCACCCAAAAATCACCCAATCATCCCAAAAATCACCCCAAAATCACCCCAAAAATCACCCCAAAGTACCCCAAAATCACCCAAAAATCACCCCAAAATCACCCCAAAATTACCCCAAAAATCACCCAAAAATTACCCCAAAAATCACCCCAAAATCACCCAAAAATCACCCCAAAATTACCCCAAAAATCACCCCAAAATCTCCCCAAAATCCCCCAGAAGTCCCCCAAAAATCCCAAAAATCCCAAAAATCCCAAAAATCTCTGTCCCAATTTTTTTTTTTGGGGGGGGGCGGGTCTCAGCTCCAATTTTGAGGGATCTGCACCCAAATTTTTGGGGTTCAGCGCCTCAGTTTTGGGGCTCTTCACCCCAAATTTTTGGGGGGATTTACGTCTCAATTTTGGGGTTCTGCACCCCATTTTTTGGGGATCAGTGTCGCATTTTGGGGGGTGCTGAGCCCAAATTTTGGGGGGATTTATGTCTCAATTTTGGGGCTCTTCACCCCAAATTTTGGGGATCCATGTCCCATTTTGGGGGGTTCTGTGCTCCAATTTTTGGGGATACTCGTCCCAGTTTTGGGGTTTTCTGAGCCCAAATTTTGGGGGATTCTGAGCCCAAATTTTGGGGGGATGCCTGTCCCAATTTTGGGGCTCTGTGCCCCAATTTTGGGGTTTTCTGAGCCCAAATTTTGGGATCCCTCTCCCAATTTTTGGATCCCTCTCCCAATTTTGGGGCTCTTCACCCCAATTTTGGGATCCCTCTCCCAATTTTGGGATCCGTGTCCCAATTTTGGGGGATCCTAAGCCCCAATTTTGGGATCCCTCTCCCAATTTTGGGATCCCTGTCCCAATTTTGGGGCTCTTCACCCCAATTTTGGGGTTTTCTGAGCCCAAATTTTGGGATCCCTCTCCCAATTTTGGGGATCCCTCTCCCAATTTTGGGGCTCTTCACCCCAATTTTGGGATCCCTGTCCCAATTTTGGGATCCCTCTCCCAATTTTGGGATCCCTGCCCCAATTTTGGGATCCCTGTCCCAATTTTGGGGATCCCTCTCCCAATTTTGGGGCTCTGCACCCCAATTTTGGGGCTCTTCACCCCAATTTTGGGATCCCTCTCCCAATTTTGGGATCCGTGTCCCAATTTTGGGGATCTTCACCCCAATTTTGGGATCCCTCTCCCAATTTTGGGATCCCTCTCCCAATTTTGGGATCCCTCTCCCAGTTTTGGGATCCCTCTCCCAATTTTGGGATCCCTCTCCCAGTTTTGGGATCCGTGTCCCAATTTTGGGATCTTCACCCCAATTTTGGGATCCCTGTCCCAATTTTGGGGATCTTCACCCCAATTTTGGGATCCCTCTCCCAATTTTGGGATCCGTGTCTCAATTTTGGGGATCTGCACCCCAATTTTGGGATCCCTGTCCCAATTTTGGGCTCCCTGTCCCAATTTTGGGGCTCTGCACCCCAATTTTGGGATCCGTGTCCCAATTTTGGGATCCCTGTCCCAATTTTGGGGCTCTTCACCCCAATTTTGGGGCTCTTCACCCCAATTTTGGGATCCCTGTCCCAATTTTGGGGCTCTTCACCCCAATTTTGGGATCCCTCTCCCAATTTTGGGATCCCTGTCCCAATTTTGGGATCCGTGTCCCAATTTTGGGGATCTTCACCCCAATTTTGGGATGCGAGCCCCATTTCCGGCTCCCCCCAGCCCCATTCCCGCGGGATCTTCCTCCAGATTTTGGGGGTGTTGAGGGGGTTGCGCCCCCCAGCTCTGGGGGTCGTGCCCCCCAAATTTGGGGATTTTGGGGTGACGCCCCTCCCCCCGCAGGGGTGTGCCTGCCGCCGTGGGGGAGGGGCTGGGAGGAGCCGCCCCCTCCCCCCATCGTCCTGCTGCCCCTCATGGCCCACGGGGACCTGCACAGCTTCCTGCTGGGAGCGCGCCTCGGGGACCCCCCCACGGTGAGAGACCCCCCAAAAAATCCCCAAACATCCCCCCGAAAATCCCAAAAAAAACCCCAAAAAAACCCCAAAAAAATCCCATTGGAATAACCCCAAAAATCGCCAAAAATCCCATCAAAATCCCAAAAACACCTCCAAAATCCCCCCAAAATCCTCAAAATATCCCCAAAAAATCACCCCAAAAATCCCCCAAAAAATCCCCAAACATCCCCCCGAAAATCCCAAAAAAAACCCCAAAAAAACCCCAAAAAAATCCCATTGGAATAACCCCAAAAATCGCCAAAAATTCCATCAAAATCCCCCCAAAATCCTCAAAATATCCCCAAAAAATCACCCCAAAAATCCCCAAAAAAATCCCCAAACATCCCCCCGAAAATCCCCAAAAAAAACCCCAAAAAAACCCCAAAAAAATACCATTGGAATAACCCCCAAAATCCCATCAAAATCCCAAAAATCCCTCCAAAATACCCCAAAAATCCTCCAAATATCCCCAAAAAAATCACCCCAAAAATCTCCCAAAAAAAACCCAAAAATCCCCCCAAAACTGCCCCAAAAAAACCCCAAAAAATCCCATTGAAATAACCCCAAAAATCCCATCAAAATCCCTCCGAAACCCCCAAATTTGGGTCCTGGGAGCTTCCTGCTGGGAGCGCGCCTCGGGGACCCCCCACGGTGAGAGACCCCCAAAAAATCCCCAAAAACCCCCCCGAAAATCCCCAAAAAAAACCCCAAAAAAACCCCAAAAAAATCCCATTGGAATAACCCCAAAAATCGCCAAAAATCCCATCAAAATCCCAAAAATCCCTCCAAAAATCCACCAAAAATCCTCCAAATATCCCCAAAAAATCACCCCAAAAATCCCCAAAAAAATCACCCCAAACATTCCCCCGAAACCCCCCTGAAAATCCCCAAAAAAAAACCCAAAAACATCCCATTGAAATAACCAAAAAAATCGGCAAAAATCCCATAAAAATCCCAAAAATCCCTCCAAAATCCCCCAAAAATCCTCCAAATATCCCCCAAAAAATCACCCCAAAAATCCGCCCAAAAAAAACCCAAAATCCCCCCAAAAGCCCCCGAAAATCCCCAAAAAAACCTCAAAAAAATCACATTAAAATAACCCCAAAAATCGCCAAAAATCCCATCAAAATCCCAAAAATCCCTCCAAAATCCACCAAAAATCCTCCAAATATCCCCAAAAAATCACCCCAAAAATCCCCAAAAAAACCCCAAAAATCCCCCTCGAAACCCCCCAAAAATCCCCAAAAAAAACCCAAAAAATCCCATTAAAATAACCCCAAAAATCCCATCAAAATCCCAAAAATCCCTCCAAAATTCCCCAAAAATTTCCCAAATATCCCCAAAAAATCCCCTCCAAACCCCTCCAAAATTAAAAAATGCCCCAAAAATCCCCAAAAATCCCCAAAAATCTCAAATTTCCCCAAAAACCCAACAAAAAATCCCCCAAAATCCCCCCAAAATTAAAAAAATCCCCCCAAATCCCCCCCAAATATTCCAAAAATCCCCAAATATTCCCAAAAAACCCCCAAAAAATCCCAAATTTGGGGCTCCATGGAGGATTTTTGGGGATTTGTGAGGGAGTTTTGGGCATTATTTTGGAATTTTTGGCGTCTGTTTGAGGAATATTTGGGAATTTTGGAGTTTTTTGGGGGTGATTTTTAAAGGATTTTTTGGGGATTTTTTTTGGGAATTTTTGGGGAATTTTGGGGGGATTTTTTGGGGGAATTTTTGGGGATTTTTGGAGCATTTTTGGAGCATTTTTGGGGGATTTTTTGGGACTTTTCAGGGATTGTTTTGAGGATTTTTTTGGGGAATTTTTGGGAGATTTTTCAGGGATTTTTTGAGGATTTTTTTGGGGATTTTTAGGGGATTTTTTTGGGATTTTTTTGGGAATTTTTAAGGAATTTTGGGGGGATTTTTTGGGGATTTTTCAGGGATTTTTTGA